TTAAGAGCGGGAAGAAGGGAAGCTTTCCCTTTGCCCCTACACTTGGACAGAGACACCCCGTCCTTTAATGCACTGCACAACAACAGGGTACTATGGCATCCTGGAGATGTGCAGTGCACAACCTGCACAATCGTACATGGGGCCTTGTTTGCTAACAAAATGAGAGGTTGGGCTAGTGTAACAGGCCAGCCAGGAGGTGACGGAGGATTCAGTCCATCAGGAATTTCCCACCCACTAGTGAGCCATAAAACCTGTTTGGCAGGGTACAACCAGCAGGTTAAAAAATATATGTAATACGTGTTTGTGTGTGTAATATCAGAGTAAACCTTACAGAAAGGGAGAGTACTGTTTGTGACACTTTATGTAATGAGTTTCAATGTCGAAAGTGGGTCATGTCCAAAAAATTGAAAGCCACCATCGTAACAGATGGCTGTCCCCAGCGTGAGACAGTAGCCTAAAGATATTTCATTTGGGAAGATTATTAAGACCCAAACAATGCCACAACAATCCCTGACTCCCTATGCAGAAAAAAATCAGAGCACCTCCCCCGAATGCAGGGAATGCAGGTACGACGGCGGCAATAGCTCTGATTTCGTGGCCACGCTTCCCACGGGCCACGCCTGGCACCCGGCTCACAGGCGGCCGCAGCCTCCGGGCTCGGATTCCTAATTATGCACTCACCACTCTAGGTCTGCATGCGGTGTAGACCGGAGAAGGAGTTCTTACCCCACAGGGGTTTACACTGGGGACCGGAGGCCTCAGCAGGGCCAGCGTGAGCGCCCATGGCGGGAAGATTGGTGGGCTGTGCGGGTGGGTGGACATGGGTGGACATGGGTACGAGGGGCGCGACTGAGCGGGCAGCCATGCTCGGAGCAGGACAGGGCGGAGCTCCATAATATTGTCTTCGTTTTTTTAACAAGCGGACAATTTGCCCACGAGCCCTCCAGTCCCACACTGCCCCCACACCTCATTGGTGGGGAAGGCCGTACACTCTGGGGGAGGGACTGCCACTGCTGCCCCGATGCCTGGGGTGACTGGGGTCCAGTCCCCGGCTGGGAGCAGCCACCCCCATCCCCGCCTGTCCCCAACCCCAGCCCACGAGCAGCACCAGTGTCACGGGTGGGCGGGCGCGGAGAGCCCAGGAGACGAGACGAGTGGTGTCCCCACTGTGGGTGGCAACCCACTCTCCCCAGACACTTGGTCTTATCTCTCTCGCCTCAGGGGAAACAAACAGATGTTAGCATGTTCCGTTGTGGATAACCTCAACCCCTCTCCCCTTAGAGTCCTCATTTTCCTTTCGTCTCCAAGAAGAAGAACAAGAATGGGCGAATCGTGCTCTGGGGTTGTGCACGTTTTTATTTTTAACTTTTGGTGGCTTTTATTGGGTATTGTCATCTCGATTTTATTTTAAAAAGAGAGGCATGATCACACAAACGTTACTGAAAATGCTGGCATAAGTCTTTACGGTCGTATTTTCTGGGTAGGCTGATGACTGGGAAACCCCGAGGTCTCAGTGCTGTCACATGCTATCCGTGACATGTTCAGTGGGATTCGCAGGGCCGTCTGCTCCATGTGGTCACCCAGGGACGTGGGTCCCGAGTCCCCGACATTCAGCAGAGGGTGGGAAGAGAGAACAGAGGGCATTCCTTGGGAAGGTTTGTGGGCAGACTTACTGTATTTCCCCAAAAATAAGCTCTACCCATAAAATAAGCCCTAGCAGGATTTCTAAGCATTTGAGCAATAGAAGCCCTACCCGGAAAATAAGCCCTAGTGACGGGCGTGGCTATGCAGCACATCTGCACAACCCGTGCATGTCGTCGAGGAGCAGGAAAGAAGACGAGCAGCCCTTCTCATCTGCCCATGAGTGCTCTAGTGCTCAACATGAGAGATTGGGGGCAATGGTTCTAAAGGAAATAGAGTTGCAAGAAATTTAGGATGGAATTCAGGGTTTGGAGAGTTAGGATGATGATCCAGAAGAAGACAACTTAACTCTATTTGAATAAATGTAGATGGTTGTACCATACTTAAAAAAATAACACATCCCCTGAAAATAAGCCCTAGGGTGTCTTCATGAGGAAAAATAAATATAAGACCCTGTCTTATTTTCGGGGAAACATGGTACCAGTGAGACACCTACTGCTTCCCACGATCCACGCTGGGACTGTCATGTTGGCTGGCAACAGTCGAGCTGCGTGCCCAGGAGGAGGAAGAAATGGATGTAGCATCACTGTACGCACAGCTATACATACACATGGCAGCGTCTGCCATGCTGGGCTTTGAGGAGAAGCCTGGTAGCATGGGACAAAGAAATGCACCCCAGCATCTGGTGACCGAGGAGTCCCCTCAAACTGTTACTTGGGCCTCAAGCACAGAGCAGCCCGTAGGCTTACTGACCTCCCAGCCCCAGGCCTGCCCACTGCAGCGGGCACCCGCCGTCCCGAGCCTGGCCGTGCACAGGCACGACGCAAGTCCCCGCCTTGCCCTGCACACCACATGTTTGCAGTGGTCCACGTCGAATGGTAACCGTGTCCCCCCTTCCCTGGAAACAGCCAGGCAGGAACCCCTGGCTGAGGTTCTTAGCCTTGAGGGCTTATTTCCTGCAGCCAGCTCTGTGCCAGACAACGCCCTGGCCAGCCAGCCTCCAGCTGCAAATCCCAGTCACTCCAGGTCTTTCAAACAGAAGGAATTTAATGCAGGGATTTAATGTTTGGATGCTTCCGCACGCACACCTGGGCCATCAGAGAACTTTCTCTGTGGCCTCAGGAGGCTGAGACCGGCACGATCTAAGCCGAGAAGAGTCTGGCTTACTGTGACTCGGAGCCAGAAGTACCACCTAGCAGACGACTTCAGAGCCAGGGCGTGCCTCCTGGATCTGCACCTGACGAAAGTAAAAGGAACGGAGGACCTGCTCCCTGTCTCTTCTTACCACACATGCCCTCCCATACCGGTCCCCGTGATGGGCTGCTGGAATCTGCCCAGAAAACCCAGTGGCTGCGGATGGGGCTACCAGAGGCAGCAGTGGGAGCAGGGGGACGTCGGGCTGTCCGCACCCTGCCCTCCGGGTGCCAGGTGAACACATCCCACCGGCAAGACCGGGCTCCCAGAGAACTCCAGCCGCACGCGCAGCTCGGACGCGGAGGGCTTGGTTTCCCAGCCTCTGCAGCCCAGCAGAAGGTGGGTGGGGTGGTGTAGACCGCCCGTACTCCCCGGCCTTCTGGAGTCAAATCAGGGTCTGTCTGCAAGGAAGGAAGGGGGAGGGGACGGCGGGCAGGTGGGGGCCGCTGCCATGGCACTGCGCTATTTATTCCAGTCTTCCCTTTCGGCCCTCAGGAAAGCTCCACCCTCACGCCGGTGGGGCCTGTCTGTGCCGAGCCTGGCGTTAGGGAATTGGGGCATGGGCAGCTTTGTGCGTGTTTGTCTCTGAGTGGGGGGAGCCTGCTCGGTGCCCTTGGCGAGGTGCTCACATCCAGCTGCCTTCGCCGCCTAAACACAGCCCGTCTCTCGCCAGCCGGGGTCACCTGGGCCGCCCCGCCTGCCCTTCCCAGGCCAGGGTCCTGTGCCCACCCACCTCCTCAGTCTAGTCCTCCCAGGAGGGTGCAGGTGGGGCCGTCCTGTCTCCAGTGCCTGCAAGATGCTTGGCCGAGGCCGAGCTCCGGCCCCCCGGCTGGGTCTTCATTACTCGGGAGCCACCCAGGGCTTGTCTTTACAATGCCCAGCGGGCCCTGGGCCATGCCTAGAGTCACGGCCCATCTGCGGCCATCTTCACCTGGGGCTGGAGTCCCATCTCGTCCCAGTCTCCACGCCAGCCCCTCGAGGCTGCCACAGAGGGGGTGACCTCTCGGACTTGTCCGGGACCTGCCACCACCCCCACGCTGCGAGGGGAGCAGGCCGGGCCAGTGACCCGCAGCCACTCCATCTTCCCGGCACCCGAACAGCCAGGGCGGAAACGCAAACCCGGGGAATGGAGGCAAGCGTTTGCATCGAGTGCATGTGCACATGCCTGTGCACACGTGTGTGCGCGCATGTGGGCATGCGTGTCTGTGCATGCGCACACCACACTCACATGAGCTCACAGTCACCTGTCTCAGCACAGAGAGAGAGTGAGACAGGGCCACCAAGTCCGTGCCCCAGGGCTGGGGAAAAGGCTTATTTCTGCTGCCAACCAGTTTTGGGGACCCCGACCCGCCTGCCCGGCAGTGTTCTTCCCGGCGGGGCCAGCAGGGGGACCTTCCCCGGCTTCCTGCCCTCTGGCCGCTGTCTGGAGGAGGGGTTAATGACCCCTCCCCCTCCCCAGAGCAGGGGGATTAAAAATTCATGCTGTCCCCAGGGGCTGTGGGAGGAAGGGGTGACACAAAATTAAAAGGGAAAGAGATTATTTTAATCCTCTTGGTGGAGGCTGCAACAATGCAAAGAGCAACGGGCTGAGGGCTCGTCCCAGCAGACTGAGGCGTGAGGACGGGCTTGGCCCCCAGGAGCCGGCAATCACAAACTGCGTGCTTTTCTCCTCTAAACAAGAAATCTGCCTTGATTCCGTAGACATCGCTTCTCCGCGTAAAGGTGCTCAGATTTTCGTAACCCCTGACATTGTGGGCAAGTGGACTTCAAACTTGATTTCAACTTCTGCCTCTTGGGGTTTCACCCGGGACCAGGGGGCTGGGGCAGGACTCCCGCGTGGGGTCGCGGTGTCGGGGAGCCGGACCCCGTGCCGACTCTCGCTGTCACCCCCAGGGGCCCTGTCCACCCGCTGGTTAGCTGAGGTGCGGACGTCTCTCGTTCCCCCACCTGGACGCACACCTGGACACAAAGTGGACAGACACCACCTTTGTTCGGAGAAACCTCCTTGCGTCCTTGGCTGACGGGCACGCTCCGAGAGGCAGCCCGTTTGTTTGCCAGCTGGACGCGGAAGGCTCTTTCCCTCCTCACCTGCTCCCGGTGCGGAAGAGGCCGGGAGGCCAGGAGGCCAGGAGAAGCCCCGTCAGCCTCGGTCCCGGGTACCGGGGGGTTGAGGATGCTGCAGGGAGGTGAAGCTGAGTGGGAACGGTCTCTGCAGTTCCCCGCGTGTGGCATGTTGTGCCACGCAGACGTCATTGCTCTGTGGCTCTGCCCTTAGTTACTCTGTCTGCGACAGAAGACTCTCTAGGATGTCCAGATCTTTTTATCTGCAAGTAGGGCCCCTGAATGGGAATCAATTTGGGATTTTTTTGGTTGTTGATGATCTTGGTAAAAGATAAATTAGCATTTTATGTTTCTGACCGCAGTCTGAGGCAGGTGGCATTTCAAGGCATGAATTTTCCTGATTTCATGAGATGAGCTTTGTTTGTGATGTTTCCCAAGGACGCTAAACCCCACCCCCCCGCCCCCAGCCAGAAGGGAATCCACCGCCCACTGCCAGACTGAACCCCACCGACGTGACAGCGCTTCCGTGAGTATGATGTGGGGTGCTTTTGCAGAGTTACTGTGGGGTTTTTGAATTCCAATCATTTTCAGTTAGTTGGGTTTGATTGAAAAACAATTTCCAACAACAGCTTTTGGGAGGGAGGTGGTAGATGCCATAAAGAAAGCCGTGGGTAATCGGGGTCCCAGATCTAACGAGATGGAGAACCCCGTCAAAGAATCCTTGAGAAGGACAATGACCCAGAGGAAGACACAAAGCCCGCAAGGACACTCGGAGACACAGCTCTCGTCTGCAGGCAGGATCGATAAAGCTTGCTTTGCCGTAACTCCGCTGTTAGAAAAATGGTGCTGGACTGTCAGAACCGTTTTTTTTTTCCTCTTTACATTTTAGTACCATTTTTACTTACGGGGCATCCTCCTGGACGTTAATGTAAGCGAAACCGTTATTTATTATTTTGCACACATGTTTACGCGCATTCTGTTTTGCTTGCTTAGGCTGCCGGTCTGGAATGCAGGGTGGCCTGGTGCTCGTGCCTCAGCGTGCACGGGCAACGGGAGGCCCGGCATCCATGGGGAGGACGCGGCTCGTGCTCGCTGAGGTCCTATCGCTCCCGGACATTCTAGGTCATTCTAGGTTGACAGTGGTCGGAGGCTCAAGGCTTCCGTCCCTCCAGGGAGCTGCTGGAGCAAAACCACTGTTCCCCCGTGCCTGAGGCACTGCCCGGGGACCCCAGGGGCTGCGGGGCTCTGGGCCTGACACCCTGGCTGGGGGTTCCCGTTTGCCGCCTGCCCCCTTTGATTGTGGGAAGCTGAACGGAGGAGGTGGCACTCGCTCCCTTAAGGCCACAGAGCAAGGTGCAAATAAGGAACCGTCCCTCACTCAGCACAGCCGGTCTGGCAAGGCGCCCACGCCCCGAGAGATGGCAAGACAGACGGCTTTAAGCGGCACCACCCCCACACCGTCCCGCACTCTCACCCGGCTCCCCAAACCTCCCACGTTCAGATGTCACGGCCAGTCCTATCGCTTGTGTGTTGTTCAGCCTCCATTCCTTGATTTCTTGTTTTTTAAAAAAACAAGCATACAGCATGCGGGGCACGGAAGATGACGCGTCAAGAGTTTGGCATGCCCTGAGCCCAATTTTCCCTTTTTGAAAGAGTCTGTCTGGCAAGAGGCGGCCATTAGCAAAGAGAGGAAAGAGTCGCTCTCTTGTGGCATCCGCCATCAGGGAAGTGCACCTGCAGGGGCCAGGCAGGTTGTGGCCAGGGACCGGCAGGCTGGCTGGCTCTGGGCTGGGTCTATAAGCCGAGGGTGTCAAAACACGGCACAAGGGGTCCCACCTGGACAAACGGTGTGGAAGGCCCAGGCGGGGAGACGTCAGATTGGACAGCAGAGCCTTTTGTCTCATTAGCCCCACTGAGCAGAGGTCGTGACCTTGGGAACCAGCTTCTGCAGCAGTGGCTCTCACTGGGGGTGGTTCTGCTCCCCACTGGGCGTGGGCAACGCCCAGGGACATTTCTGGCTTTCACAACCAGAGGGGAGGGTGCCATGGTGGCTGGTGGGCGGAGGTCAGGGATGGTGCCCACGTCCCGTGGTCCACAGGACAGCATGCCCCCACCACCAGGATTATTTCGTCCTGCATGTCGAAAGTGCTGCAGGTTCAGAAACCATGTTCTATAAAAACCAGGAGTCTTCCTTACCTGGATCCAGAATTCCCGGGTTTGGAGAAAGTCAAGGCCGTGGGCAGAGACAGAATGGCCCCGCTGGAGTTGGCCCGACACCCGCCGACTGCAGTCAGACCCAGTTTGGAGAGAGAGAGACGCGCCCTAGTGCTGCAAAGAGGTTTTGAGGTGCACGGAGGACCAGGCCCGGGGAGGCAGTGCTCTGGGTTGAGTAGTGTCCCCCCAAATTCATGTCACCCCAGAAGCCCAGAGTGTGACCTTATTCGGAAATAGGGTCCTCACAGATATTATCAGTTAAGGTGAGGTCATCCTGGAGGGGGCAGGCCCTGATCCATGGAGTGGCCCCTCTAAAGACACAGAGACACACGGGAGGCAGGACACAGGTGACGACAGAGGCAGGGACTGGCGTGTCTACACGCCGAAGATGGCGGAGGACGGGCAGCAGCCGCCAGAATGGGAAGAGGCCAGGCAGGATCCCGCCCTAGAGCTCCGGAGACAGCACAGCCCTGCCCACGCCTCGATCGTGGACTTCCAGCCTCCCGAACTGTGGGAGAATGAATTTCTGCGGTTTCAAGCCACCATGGTGCTTTGCCACAGCAGGGTGACAAACACAGGCCCCAGCTCCTGAACCCCGAGGAGCAGGGGAGGCGGCTACCTGGCAGGGTGACAGGTGCAGGCCCTGAATCCCGCATGCGACAGAAAGTTCCCCACGGAGAGCTGCGCTGGTGGGCTCACTGCGACGCCTCGACGTGGCCACGCTGGGCTCCCTGGTCCCGGGGCCGCCTCGTTCCGTGGCCTCCCAGGTTCGGGGCCCGGAATACTCATTGCTGATGGGAAGCTGTTTTCTCGTGGGTGGAGAGTCTTTGCCTGCAACCAGGTCTCTAGCAAGAGAGAGATGTAAAAACTCCAGGATGGCCATGCATCGCGAGCAAGGGGACCCACGTGGCGTTTCGTGGACACAGAGACGGCGCGTTCTTCAGTGGCTCTGGACTGGTGGCTGCTTTGCCCTGCACTGCCTGGGGGGGGTGCTCAGCCACCTGCTGCCCGCCCCCAGCCCCCTCCCGCTGGACTGGACCTTCCCTTCTCCCCTCGGGATCGGGAAGCGTCCCACCCGGCCCATTTCCTCTGCCGGTCCCCGCGAGGCGTGGCTCGCCGCGGGACAGGAAGGGAGGGCGACGTGTGACTGACAGCGCAGCGTGAACCCTACTGCCCAGGAACGAGGGCTCTGGGCGCCGGGACCTGGCACCGCCGCCGTCCCGCGTGGCCAGCGAGATGGATTTGAGCGGTTACGGGAAGAGCCGGCGTGGACCGGGCTCCAGGGAGAGATTTCAAATTTTATATTAAAAAGGGTCTTATTCTGCTGCCCATTGTTTAAGCCAAGCGAAAAAATAATTAGGCTCTTTGGGCCCCTCTCATGCCCTTTCTCCTGAACTTTCTGAAGACATCAGAGGGAACTGTCGCGCCTGGGCGTTCTGCAGAGTTCTGCCGTCCCTCTGGCGTGGAGAGGTGGAGCCGGGGGTCGCCCTCATGTTGCAGAGGGCCACTGGGCTCCACCGATGAGATCCTCGCTCAGCAGGGCGGCTCTCGGGCCGCCCCGTGCTCCTCCCGGACAGCGCCTTCGAGAGCCCTCGACTCTGTAGGTCCTGGTGGCCCTGGGCTGGCTCCCAGGGCTCCCCCGGTCATGAGCTCGCCGGACTGGTAGGACGCGGACATGTCTCACGACTCCGCCTTGGGTTTTCGAATGTTTCTTCATTAAAAGTTTTAAATTACAAAAGTAACCCACTATGATGTTAGCCAGAGGTGTGTGAGGATGCAATCCGCCCTTCCCTACCCTGCGCGGCTACCCCACTCGGATAGGACACGGGAGGGCGGCACACCCTTCCTGGCTGGCCCAGCTCACTGACACGCAGGTAGAGAGCTGCACCGTCAGGGTTTTCCTTGCCATTTTGAAGCCGCGGTGACGTCACGCCGTGTATATTCCTCCAGAGGATGTGGGCCCGTCCAGCAGTTTCAGTGTTTTCCTCAGGCACTCTGCGGGGTGGCGCCCCCCAGTTCCCACGGCGAGGCCCTGACTCCCCAGTGACTTCCTGCAGGTGGCCTTTGAGGAGGTGATTAAGGTGAAATGAGGTCACGAGCCCGGCGGAGCCCGGATCCAACAGGACTGGTGTCCTTATAAAAGAGGAAGACGCTCGGAGGCTGAGGCCGGAGGATCCCTTGAGCCCAGGAGTCGGAGGCTGCAGTGAGCTAGGATGGCACTGCCGCGCTCCAGCCTGGGTGACAGGGCGAGACCCCGTCTCAAGAAAACCAAACACCAAAAACAAAACAAACAGGGAGAGACACCAGAGGCCTCTGACAGCCAGTGCGGCTCCTTCTCGAGGAGGCCACTGTCCGCAGGCCGAGAAGAGAGCCCTCCCCAGGCACAGGGTCATGCGGCACTTGGATCTTGGACTTCCAGCCTGCAGAACTGCAGGAAAGTAAAGTTCTGCTGCTGACGCCACCTGGTCCCTGGTATTTTGCTGCGGCAGCCCCCGCAGACAGAGCACCTCACCCAACGAGAACACATCCTGGGCGTCTCCGGGTCAACAGACGTGGCTCTAACTCACTTTTTTTGTTGTTGTTGTTGCCCAGGCTAGAATGAGTGCCGTGGCGTCAGCCTAGCTCACAGCAACCTCAATCTCCTGGGCTCAAGCGATCCTCCTGCCTCAACCTCCCGAGTAGCTGGGACTACAGGCACGCACCACCATGCCCGGCTAATTTTTATATATATATACTAGTTGGCCAATTAATTTCTTTCTATTTTTTATAGTAGAGACGGGGTCTCGCTCAGGCTGGTTTTGAACTCCTGACCTTGAGCAATCCGCCCGCCTCAGCCTACCAGAGTGCTAGGATTACAGGCGTGAGCCACCGCGCCCGGCCTCTAACTCACTTTTAAAAACAGCTGCACAGTCTACACCGGTGCCCAGGCCCTAGGCCAGGCACGCTCCTAGAGATGAACACGCGTGTTGTCTCCAGGGCTTTGCTACCACACAGCAACGTCACGAGAAGCCTCCTTGATCGTACATCCCTACGAGTTCTCCATCTGATTTCTACAGGGCAAATCCCTGCAGGGCGTGGGGTGGAGGGTGTGTCTGTTTTCCCCCAGAACCCAGGCACCGGGCTGCTCTTCCCAAATTGCACCCTCTGTGTTCCCACCAGGGACGGATGAGAGACCTGCCGTCCTGCAGCTTCCCAGCAGTGGATCCTATCGTTCTTTTAATTTCCGGTCATCTAATAAGTGAAAAATGGTATTTTCCCTCTCATCCACTAGTAGAGAAGTTAAGGGTATTTTCACTAGCGTGTTATTTACTT